GATCGCACAGACTAGTGTACTTCTTCCATGTGGGCTTTGTTGCTTCTCAGCTAGATGGCTGCTTGTTTACCTTCAAGTCTTTAAGACCCCAGAGGCTATATCTTTTGATAGCCAAGCTCCATCAGTTTTCTTCACCACATTTTCTTATGTACCCATTTGTCTTCAGCAATCGTGTCGGGAAGGTAAGCATCATGGAATGCCAGTTTAATTGAACAAAGTGTTCTTGCATTGAGGAAGTACTTGAGTGCAGGCCCAATGTCCATCTCCTACCTTAATACTAAACCTATAAATGTATGCACATAGATCAATTTCCCCATCATCATAAATAAATATATTTACATATGGACATGCCTGTATTTAGACCTCTATAAATGCCCTTTGCTTTCCTTCTGTAGGGAATCTAGATAAAATCTAAACTAGCTGCCTTCTTTTAATATCCTTCAACCTGGCTAGCTGTCCAGATCCTTCAAAGCAAGTCAAGTAAAAGGGTGTGACAATCCCTGGCGACATCTTAGCAAGAATTTGTTGAATATATTTGAATGTGCTTAACATCTGCGAGGGATCCCGGTGTGCTTAACATCTGCGAGAGATCCCAAGCTAGGCATCTTTGGTGGTGGAATCCTGGTAGTGCCTTTGGCCATGTTGGGTTTTCCCAGCAGTTGTTTGAAGGGACAAAACCTGAAGGGATTCCCTTCTATCTAACCAACACGATAAATCTCACCTATAGAGCTTAAAGGCACCAGCGCCTTACTGAAAAAATGAGATGTACATTACATCACAATTGCTATGTCATGGAGGAGAAACAAGATGGTAATTTAAACAGCTCCTAAACTCCCAGCCTCCCACAGAAAAAAGTCACAAGAAAATAAGCAAATGAAGCTGACCATCTTGGGTCTCTGGACATTGAAGGGTTGGAGACCCAAAGTGACCACCGAGTCAAGAGAAAGGCCGTGTATAAACCATGGGAGAGCAATGCTTCACCACAGGTCTCCACCCCACCCTCTTCCCCAGCTCTGATTATCTTTAGGTGAACCCCATAGCTCCTGAAAATGGGCATATGGGTTATGAGGCTGGGTAAGGGTATGCTAGTGGGAGGATTCGTTGTCAACAGTGAAAATTGGCAATCCCAATTTGGGTGGGGAAGAGGGTTGGCAGCTGGCACTTGAGTAGTATAGCGGTGTTGGCGTTGCAGAGGGCCTGGTACAGGGATAAACTCATAGCAAGCTTGTAGGACAGGATAGGACTGCCTTGTTGAGTTCCCAAGAGATTGTAACTCTTTATGGAAGCAGAAAGCCCCATCTTTCTCCCATGGGGGACTGGTGGCTTCAAATTGCTGACTTGAGGATTGCAGCTCAATGTGTACCCACTATGCCACCAGGCATAGGGTTAGTACAGAGAGTGTGGGAGTGTGGGAGTGATATGGTCTCCTCAGGAGCTCCATGTGATAGTTTGGGAGCCTGGAGGAGAATCACGGATGCACTTCCGAGACATATAGACCAATAGTGACGTGACCGTAGCAGGTGCATCTAGACTGGGTGTCTGGGTTAAAGCGGTGACCTAAAACTTTCAATATATTACACTAGTAAAATAAAAATACTAAAAATAACAGTAACAAAGAGGAAGAGAGCAAATCCTAAAGAAGTGGAAGAATCTAATCTCCAGAGATAGTACAGTTTAAAAAATGAGGAGCTGAAGCCAGGGGCTTAAATGGAGAGCAAATGTCTTGAGAATGATGCAGGCAATGAATGTACAAATGTGTTTTACACAATTGGTGTATGTATGGATTGTGATACAAGTTATATGAGCCCCTAATAAAACGATTAAAAAAAACCCAAGCAAAACAAAACAAAAAAAAAGAGTTCAGTGGCCCAGTCTTAACCAACCATGGAAATGAATGGACTTCCACATGTCCAGCAATATTTATGAAAGCATCTCTCTCCTGGAAATCTCTGTTTATGAAAATCAAATGTAATTTCATATGTTTATAATATGTGCTATGCTGTGAAAAATTATCACAAAACAAATTAAAGCTAGATGTTAATTATTGGGGTTAGATTCAAGACACAATCATTTGACTTCATGAGTCTTAGAGGCGCATTTGGTTCAAAGTGACAATTTTATTACGTTGGCATCATTGTATACTCATTAAGACCTTTAAATAAGATATATACTCTTTCCAACTTGGTAGTAGGCCAGCATATCTTCCCCTCATTAACCAAGTGTCAGAGTGGAAAGTCCCTTTCTATTCTTGAGAATTGTTTTACTGATCATCTGTTGGGACTTTCCTACAAGCATTCTGAAGAATTTAGCATTAATCTCATTTATTACCCTTGTATTTATATTCATAGTTCTTAGGTCATTCAATTTCTAGGTCATAGAGCAGGTGTGTGTGTTGAGCGTTAGTGAATGCTACTCAACAATTTTCTAACGTGATGATACTCATTCCACTCACCCAAGTTGTTACTTCATATCCTTGTCAACTTCTGTTGCTGAAACGAACTATATTTACCTTTTTAGTGGTACTTCAGTATACAAAGATCTTAGATGAGATGCTTGATTTTTATAAAAATTACTGTGCATTCAGATCAACAGATGGTAATGTTTATAAAACATCCAATGATTTTACTGTCCTAAATTTTAGGACCTAGAAATACATTCTGATTTCTGTTATAAGAACTTCTAAGATTATTCAGTGCTAATGTCACTTTGCAAAATCTGAATGATCAAAATGTGTGTTGCAGCTTATTTGCCACTTTTAAACCTGAGTAGGTAGGACCGTTTGGAATATGGCTTATTCTTTGGGTTAACAATATTAAGAGGATGTCTTATCACCATCCCTGAAGTCTGTGATTTTATTAAGAAATGTTAAGTCCTAACATTTGTTAAGAGCTGTGGTACTCACCCATTGAACTAGTGATATTGGCAAATTTCTCTTCCCACAGATTAGGAGGTCAGTTTAGTTTTAAGCAGTTTATCACTCTTCAATATTAAAAAAAAAAAGTTCATTAAACTCCAAGCATGAATTTTAGACATGGAATGTTAGAGATGTGATAGTAGATTGTTCAGTTGTATAGTTACTTTAGGATAGTGTGAAAATTGGTTGCAGTTTTTCTATCTATTGCATTCCTGGAACCTCACTCACTCATGTCACCGAGTCAGTTTCCTCTCGCAGCGACCCTAGAGAATAGGGTAGAACTGCCTCTGTGGCTTTCCGAGACTGTAAACATTTACGAGAATGGAAAACCTTTTCTTTTTTTTTAAATTGTTTTATTAGTAGCTCATACAACTCTTATCACAATCCATAAATACATCAATTGTGTAAAGCACATTTGTACATTCATTGCCCTCATCATTCTCAAAACATTTGCTCTCCACTTAAGCCCCTGGCATCAGGTCCTCATTTTTCCCCCTCCCTCCCCGCTCCCCTCTCCCTCATGAACCCTTGATAATTTATAAATTATTATTTTGTCATATCTTGTCCTGTCCAAGGTCTCCCTTCACCCACTTTTCTGTTGTCCATCCCCCAAGGAGGAGGTCACATGTAGATCTTTGTAATCGGTTCCCCCTTTCCAACCCACCGTCCCTCTACCCTCCCAGTATCGCCAGTCACACCACTGGTCCTGAAGGGATCATCCATCCTGGATTCCCTGTGTTTCCAGTTCCTATCTGTACCAGTGTACATCCTCTGGTCTAGCCAGACTTGCAAGGTAAAATTGGGATCATGATAGTGGAAAAGCCTTTTCTTTCTCTTCAGTTGTGGCTAGTATTTTCAAGCTGCGTCCTTGTGGTAAGCCACTCAATTAATAGCCACTATGCCACCAGAGCTCCCTGCTAGAATCTAGCCTGAAAGAAATACATCCCCAGATAATAAAAGTGTAGTGCACACATGTAAATTGTGTATATTAGTATTGTGTAGTAGTAAAGTGTATGAAATCATACTACTTAATTTTAGGCTACTTTTTATATGGCAAAGGTGTTGGCATATTGCTTTTTAATTTTATTTTGATAGCATCCACCTATATAATCTTCTGTTCTAAGATTTCACATCAAATGACACCAAAATCTGAACAAAATATTTATTAGACTATAGTAATAGTCTGTCTTAATATTAGAATTAACTTTGAATATGAAAATTTAATGATGCTATTATAGGTAGCCAATTTCTTAAGGTCAAGTATATAGCAACAGTATTGAAATAATAGTAATAATACTAGCTAACATAAGTATTCACCTATGTCAGCACAGTTCTAAGAATTTACCTACATAACTAAATTAATCCTCACAAATACACTGTGAAGTACGTAACATTCTCATCCGCATTTTATAGAAACTTAAGAAATGGTTCAATTTATTTCTGTTTTTGTCTTGCATGTCTAATTGTATTGCTTAAATAACATTTATTTGAAAAATTTGATGGAAAGTATGCTTTTTTTAAAAATAGAAAATCTATGTCCTATACTGAGAGCAGATGGATATCAGCTTAAACAAGGCAGCAGAGACAAACTTGAAATTTCAGGTAAGCATATAATCCTTCACAAAGTAGAATTTTGTGTGAAATCATTGCTAGCTATGTAATGCATTGTTTGTTTTTCCTAGAAATAGCAATTTAAGACTATACCATCAATATAAAAATGATAGTAAACATTATTCTGTAGAAAATATATTAAGGGCATAGTTCTATTGAAAACCACATTTCAACCTCCTCAGTAAAGCTCTATACAACTTTAAAAACTGGATTCATTGTAGAAATTTTGAAAAGAAAGTACATTTGTAGGAAAGAAAGATCTCATGCTCCAAATAGTCACACTTGTAGTGACACACATACCAGACAACCATACTATTGTAATCCATGTGTTACATTTGAAATCCAGGCATTTATCCGTTATTACATATTTCTACCAAGGATACATATTTTCAAAGCTGCTTTGTTTTCAATCAAATAGCTGTAGTTTAATTTATTTAGTGGTTGTCTGTGTCTTTACATATGAGGGCTGCTACGCTGAGCTTCACTGATTATTTTTAAATTCCTAGATTCAAGAAAATTGATATTTGAGTGTTTTGAACATTTTTAAATATTTTCTTTCAAAAAGAGAGAGTCATACATTGTTGTACAGAGTGAATTTCTTTTTCCTGTACCCTACAATGAGAAAAATGAAATCAAGGAATTTTGCTGGCCCCAAACAACAGGATTTTGTTTGCAATAGGTCAGTCTATTAATAAGGGCAACGAAAATATCCTATTTAAAAAATCAATATGTTTCTCAAAACATTTTCTCTCCATTTAAACCCCCCGACATCAGGTCCTCATTTTTCCCCACCCTCCCCGCAAAATGTTTTGGGAAACGATGTACAAATGCGCTTTACACAATTGATGTGTGTATGGATTGGGATAACAGTTGTATGAGCCCCTAATAAAATGTTTTAAAAAAATCAATATGTCTACACGTTTACTAAGTTTAGTAAAACTTGCTGGACTGAATCATTTGTCACATTTACAGGTTTTGATTTAGGAGAGAGTTTTTCTCTGAGGCGTGCATTTTGTGAAGGTGATAAAGCTTGCTTCAGACTGGGAAGTGTGCTTCTCATTAGAGATACTATGTAAGTAAAATAAAAAGTCTTTTAATAATATTACATAAACTGTTTCTGAAGGAGATTCTAAATAATTTGTAAAAGATATAAAACAAATTCTTAATTGTGTTACGTTCACTGTGGTGAATGTATTATTTTATAGTTGTTGTTTATAATAATCTTGCCACTTTGTTCTTTGTTCTATGGGCACATACCATATACACATATAAGTAGAGGCACGATTACACAGAAAATGGTAATCTAATCTACTTTTGGAGAAATATTATTTATGTTTAAAGTAGACAAAACCAAGCTTCAATTTTAATAGGTGAATTTTAAGACATAATATGTATACAATGTACCCTCAGAGACAAAGTACCAGTATTCATTGTATTTATTTATTTCAATGTTCACTATTGTTCATCATGTTGAAAGAAATTACTTAGCCTTTATATGTGTTCCTTTATATATTGTGGAGAGTATATAATTTTTAAAAAGAAAGACTGTATTACGGTATTTATTTTTGATCTTGATACTTATTTCATTTCAAAGTTGGGTTTGTTTTTTGTCACCTTTGCCTTCATTGTTCAATGGATAAACCTAGAATTAAAAGAAGAAGCACTTGCTGTCTGAATGCTGACAATTGGTCAGCAATAATACTTCCACATTTGTTGGCGGTAATATAAGATGGATAAATAGTAATTCAGAAAGCGTGAACCACCAAGAAGGCAGATAGCATATATGATGATCATGTTTGTTCTTTGAATCCAAGGTACCCATATATTGCATTGCAATAAGAAAAAAGGTACATCCAAATTCCTATTTGGTTTAATAAGCAACACCGATGTTTTTGTATGAAAACCTATATGAATGTTTTCATTTCCTGATGGATAACCTGGTACTTGAGTTACTGGGAATCTCAGCATTATGAATTGCCAAAGGGAAGTAGCAGCTGTCATCCCAGTGCCTGTTTTTCAGATGCTCTATATAAATTAGACTTAAAGCTCACTTTTTCCTTGAGAAAAGTGTGTGTGGGTTTTTGTCATCTTTGTTGTTTTTAATTGCACATTTTGAAATAGTTTAGGTAACTTTAGATTAATTACGTAGCTCCTTAAATGTAAACTGTCTATTAATTGGTAAGAGACAAGAGTATTAAGGAAGAGAGCAATTTGACATTAGGGGATTTTAATGGGTGAATGTCAGGCAGGGCACTTCAGCAGATGTAACTGTACAGACGTGTGTTATAGTGGGTGGCTGTTCAGGTAGCTTCATTGGCAAACATAAAACCCCCTGGCGACGGCAAGTAGTACCATGTTTGCATGTTTATATGCTGTATTGAAAAGCCAAGAGGCACAGTGTGTCTTTTAAACAGCATTGCTATTATGATTATTATTTTAGTGTGTAGATATTTTAAACTAGATGTAGTCATCATTCAATGCTACCAATTTGACTCCTATAACTAGTATGTAGATAACTTTAATTAAGGAATTAAGGAAGGTGACACATTCTTTTCCTTCAAACCCCAAGTTAAGATGCATATTCTTGTCCTGTTATCTTATTGCCAATTTAAAACCTTTTAAGTTTCCTTGGAACTGTATGTAAGAAATCCTTGCTTTTCTTAAGTAGTTGTGTTGAAAAACTTGCTGCCACCTATAGACAATGCTATTCCCTTTTGAATCTGCGAGACCACAAATAGTGGCACAATTTAAAATTTTCTTTAATGGGCTTGGCTCCAAATCACTGCGCTATCCTTGGGCAATTAATGTAAGTGAATTCTCCGCGCGGAGCAGAACCTTGCTACCTCCACTACAGGAAACTGCAGGGTATCTGGTTAAGCTGACAGGCGAGTCTCAAGTATCTTGGCTCATCTCCACTTACATTTCACTCCTTCAGCCAAGTGCGCTAGCATGCTTCTCTTGCATGATGCCATTTTGGTTTTTCAATGAGACTGGAGTAAAGTTGCAGCTATTTATATATTTGTAAATAAGTTTCCTTGCAGAGTCAGCATGGGAAAAAGTAGAAGGTATTTTATATGGAAAAATAGGGATGCTTTCCCTGCCCGAGCTTGCTTTTACAGGTCTGGCATATTGCTGGTGAGATTCCTTAAAGAGGAGGCTTAACACGTTTATTGGTGAGATGACTACAGGGAGTGCTCAGAGTCTTAAGTTTACCTTCATGTTGGAATTCCAAAACTATACTTTTAGGTTCTTGGAATGCCCGAGTCCCTCCAGACATGTTATTGTATATGTACAAGTGGTACAGGCCTGGGGAATGTGTGAGCGGATTTATCTGTTTTGCTTTATTTTAAACTTAGGCCCATTCTTCAGTCCTTGGGATAGCAAAGGATAGGTAAATTATTTGGGTGTTTTGAAAAATTTTTTAATGGCATGTCACCTAGTGTTCCACAATTATCCTTTGAGGGGAATCTTCCTTGGCTTCTGGTATTTTCAAGTATCCTTGATTGGGCGAAAGGAATCATTTATTACTTCTACATGTATGTTTCCTATATGATCACACTTGGATTATGTTTAAATTTCTATTTGGTAAATTCTCAGGGAAGGGGATGGTGTCATTTTGAGAGACAAGGTACCCCCAAATATATATACTTTGGGTCATATTATTTTCTTGGCATAACTTAATTTTTATTAATTGCTTTTTATAGAAACTTACCTTCAATAAGAATTTCACAGTAATGGAACTTTTATGAGAGTTGATGAATGTTGACTTCCACATGCCATTGATTCTAATGGCACATCACACCCATAGCAATTTCACATGTACCGGGGGAGTGAATTTTCTGAATGGATTATTGAGCTCAAGCCTTATCTCTTAGGCTCTGTGATTGATAGGCAGTGCTTGTTGCCTGGACTATTGTGCTGAGAAAGAGTTTGCTGAACCAGATTGAGTTCAACAGATTAGAGTTATATAATCCACAAGCACAGAGAGGTGAGGAAGGAGTGCTAATACGTGCTTCACATTTTAGCCTCTCTGATTCTGTGTGATTCTTGTGAACTTGTGGTTTTTACAACTGAAACAGTTTCTAAGAATGGAAATAGGGTGAGGGGATGAGGTTACCTGTTAAGTAATATTCAAATGAGTTTATTTTTAATGAACTTGCATAGTGGAGCTAGACACAATGACAAAGCTATGGCCCCATAGCTTTTGTTATAAATAAATGTTTGATCAAAAGTCTTTCCTGTTAAATGGGTTATTCTCTGGAAGCAAAGATTATTTGGTTTATGGGCACAAAGAGATAGATGTTAAGAGCTATTCTAATTTGCAGTTTATGTTTTTATAAACATTGGAAACCCTAAATTATACATTTGAAATATGTGTAGTGTTTCTTAGGAGTCATACGGTTTTTGGACCTTAGCAGTTCCTGTGGAACTAATCCTAACCCTGGGGAAATCTGGGTGGATATTGCAGCATAATCTGCATGGAATCTTTACTACTCTCTTACGACTCATTCAGTGGGTATTTCTCATCTACACAGGTCTTAATGCCATCTCCAGAATTTCACTATTATAAATAATACTACAATTTATAGGAAGTTCTTCTGTATGTGCATTGGATTATTTCACAAAAACTTATTTTTACAAGTAGAATTACTAGTTCTTTTTAGGGATCTTGATGCAAATTACTAATTATATCTCATCATTGTTTTGTCCATCCATGCTATGTATTTTCCCCAAAGTGTTGGTAGCATTGAGCCTTATTATTTTAGCTTTTTTTAAAAACTAAAAGACTATATCAATTAAAAACTACAGTCTACATAAATATTTGTAGGAGTTCTTAAAATGTTTCTGTTCTACTAACAGGTGAATAGGAGACAGTATAAAGTATTTAATAATGAGTACAGTCTAGTATGGAATTTGTTCTTTTATTCAACAAGTGTTTATGGGTACCCAGGGGCCCTTGTGGCATTGTCAGGTAAGCATTGAATTGTTAACCTCAAGGTCGGTGGTGGTTTAAACCTACTGGCTACTCCTAAGGAGAGAGATAAGGTTGTGTGTTCCCTTAAGATTTAGGAAACTGCAAAGAGTAGCACTAAGTCAGAATTGACTTGGTGGCAGTGGTGGCTCTTTTGTTTTGTTTTGCTTTTAAATGCAGGTTTAGTCTTATCTTTCTGAAGCCCGCTGGAAAAAAACTTGGTACAAGGAAGAGCTATACTCACTTCTTGTTTTGAATGAGAAGAAACTGAAAGAGTACCTTCTACCATTCAGTGATAAGCAATGTGATTCAAATTCTACCCCTTCTCCTATGTAGGCTCAACTTCCTTCAGCATCACACATGAGTTTTGCGTTATCCCTCCATAGTTTCATTCCTTCCCTCACAGGGACCTCTTCTCTTACGCATGTTTTGTACTTATTGCTCCTCCTTGGAACCTCTCCAAGTTCTCAAAACTCCCAATTAAATTCTGAGGCCCCAAAGTATGCTTAGTATTCTGATACTGAATCTTCTAATTGCTGAGTGCAGTAGCAGGATTACTCCACAATTCCATTAAGCTATAGAGAATGACTATTTATACATCCCTTGGGTTTTCATTTGGGGCATTCTATAATTTTGTAGATGGAAAGTTTTCTATATAAGGAAACGTGACTTAGCGGGAAAAAATGCCCAGCTGTTTTTATTTGATTGACTGGCTATGGCACATAATTCATAATATCATCACCTTATTTCCTTACTTACAGTTTGGCATACCAAGTGTGAAGTGAGTCATTAAGTCATGCATTCATTCTTAAATTGAAAAATCTGTTAGGTTTATAATGGCTTAATCTTTAAATCATGAAATTGTAGTTAAAATTATTTATATTCTATAGAACAAAATTTTTAAGATGTCATGTATACAGATTTTCAGACTTCCTGCAAATACTTGCTTCCTCAAAATTAGAAGAATTCCTATGAAGGATGGTAATATGTGCTAAGAACAAATTACTTAGTTCAGAAATAGCTTCTAAAATACATTTTCATGTGAAATATTATCAGTTCAGTACTTCCAGTGAACAAGTTTGAATACATTTATATGGTTA